TGACTGCGCCACCCAGGCGCCCCGTGATAGGTCTCTTTAATGTATTGTTGAATCTTGTGCTTGAAGCACCGTGTCTAAGTTCCATAAAAGTGTTCTTTATCCCAACAAACTTATAGGGTAGATGTTAAACTTGTCACCTGTATTAGCCTTGAAGGGGAAATCTGTGTGTGTGCAATTATGAGGCTTTGTGAAAGTTACTAATTTTTCTGAGACTGACTCAAATATAAGGTGTGGGCTTTTTTAGTTTGAAGATAGGCAAAAGCACACAATTTGTTGTTCAGCACTACAAAACTACAGCTACACTTTAAGGGCAATACTTTTTAGCCATTTCTTAATACCCTCCCCATATAAAATCGTAAGTATCACTAGTCACAGCTCATGGTACTTTCTTTATTAGAAGGAACTGTCATAATAAAATGAGAATGATGGCTATAATAGCTACTATTTATTGAGAATTTATTAGGTGCCAGGCACAGTATAAAATGTTTCACATAGATTTCCTAATTTAATACTGGCAATCTTAATGAGGGAGGCACTACTATTATTGCCCTTTTATAGGTATCGAAAAGGAAGCAAGCAGAGCAAAACATCTCCCCCTATTCTCTGGATCACTGTTTCAGAGAATTTTATGCTTCTCTGTGGCCTTAGGATGAAGTCCAAACTCTAAAGCTTAGCATGAATGGTCTATAAAGATCTGGTCCCCGACTACCTGCCTCTTTAGCCTCATCATTTTACTACCCCATTCATCTTTTATGCTGGTTTTTAGTGAACTGTTTCATATAACCACGTTCCTGCTCCCACCCATGCCCGTACCTCAGCATCTACAGAGACAAGACCTACTCATCCCTTCAAACTAGTTCCTCTTGGAAAAGCCTTTGCTGATATTCCAGCTAGATCTAGCTGCCTCTCCTCTGTGCATGTTCCAGTTATAGAACTATCACACTGTCATATATCTATTGAACTATTTGTCTCTTTTTCCTACTGGACTTCAAGTTCCATGACATTAAGTATAATATTTGTTTTGGTTTTCTCCAGTGCCTTACCCGGGACCAAGTAAGTATGCAGTGGGCACTCAAAAAATATTTTTTTGAATGCACAACCAAATCTTAAGTGATCACCCTATTCATTCTTCTCTCAATCTCACTGCCTGAAAATATTTGCGACACAGCCATTTCCTATAATTTCATAATATTCAAAAGTATTAGAAGGAGTTCTACATAAGGAGTTAGGGTATCTAGGTTCTTGTCCCATGACTGTCATTTAGTAAATGAATGACCTTGAAGGTTGATTCATTCCACATTTTCCCCCCCGACATTTGCCATGTTCCAGGAACTATATACCACAGGGACACCACAGTGAACACAACAGACCATACCCTTCCAGCACGGAGCCTGCATAGCCTAGAGCGGGATTTCTCACGAAGTCTAAAATGCCATGAACCAATAAGCCAAACCTCAAATCCCTTAAAATACAGTAAAGAAGCACATAAAAGTAAAAATAACAGCAGGCAAATCAGTTCAAAATCAGCCTCTGGTATAATTAGTCCATGAGTATTAATTCCACCTTCTAAAAATAGATACAGATAAGTGATATTACAATCTTTTAAAAATATTAACTGTGCTTTGATCTGATACAAAATACCGGAACTCTCTCTAACTGTAAGTAGTAGACCTGCCAAGGACAAAAAGTGGAAAAAATCATTTCAAGGCAATTAACAGTGACTAGAAAGGAAGTTCTATTTTATCCCTTGGGAAGACGAATCTGTTCTATACATCTAATGCTAGTCACAACATAAAGAACGTGTCTCTAATCAAACTTTATTTGTGTGAAGAATTTTTGATTCATGGTAATTGGACCAAAAAAGGTAAAACATAATATTAGTGTACAAATTACATAGTAAAAACTAAATGAGCCTAGACTCTCAGCTGCTTCATTAAAAGATTAGGTAGCGAAGGTCATAATTATTTAATTTGTGTCCAAATCTCAGCTGGAGAATGTTTTGAATGAACAATGAGGTAAGTAATTTTTTTTTTTAATTTTTTTTTTCAACGTTTATTTATTTTTGGGACAGAGAGAGACAGAGCATGAACGGGGGAGGGGCAGAGAGAGAGGGAGACACAGAATCGGAAACAGGCTCCAGGCTCCGAGCCATCGGCCCAGAGCCCGACGCGGGGCTCGAACTCACGGACCGCGAGATCGTGACCTGGCTGAAGTCGGACGCTTAACCGACTGCGCCACCCAGGCGCCCCATGAGGTAAGTAATTTTAAGGGAAGGGAAAGTCCTTGTAGCCAAGCCTAGAAACTTGATATTGACAGGCAGAGTTAGCATACTCCCTTTCAGATTGTCTTCCAAGAGGTGTTTGGACAGGAAATCTAATTTTCTCAAGATACAGATTCAGTAATCCTTACTATAACTGAGTAAAACGTATCAATTCTTTGACAGGCTGTGATCACAAGATGTGCCTCCTGACACATCCTTTTTCTTCAAACTCTTTGACATTGGATAGTTGCTGCTGATGGTTTATGTGGACACTGAATTATGACAAAAATAAGCACACAAAAACTGGGTTTGTTGTTCCATTAAAGTCATAAACATGGAAACTGAAATAGACTTTCGAGGTATATGGTGAGGTTTCTCATGCTCTAGGTGAGGAAACTGAGGCCCACAGAGGTGAACGAAATTACTGTAAATCTCGCAATTGGTTAGTGGTAGAGCCATGATAACAGGAGAGTTCTGTGGCCCCAGCCCAACGTTCTTCTCATCACTGTGTTACGTATTATGCTCTCTTTGTGGGTTGACTTCCAGCTCACAAGCTCCCATTCATTACACTGAACCACAGCACCAAGTTTAAGAGTACAAGTGGTGGGGCGCCTGGGTGGCGCAGTCGGTTGGGCGTCCGACTTCGGCCAGGTCACGATCTCGCGGTCCGTGAGTTCGAGCCCCACGTCAGGCTCTGGGCTGACGGCTCAGAGCCTGGAGCCTGTTCCCGATTCTGTGTCTCCCTCTCTCTCTGCCCCTCCCCCGTTCATGCTCTGTCTCTCTCTGTCCCAAAAATAAATAAAAACGTTGAAAAAAAAAATTAAAAAAAAAAAAGAGTACAAGTGGTAGGGGGCAATACTGAAGTCGTTCAGATGGTTGGCTTCTTTTTCTTGGAAAATCATTACTTCTGTGTGTTTGTGGGAAGAAAAACAACAGCTAGTTTGTACTTCTGTAGCAGAACCGGTGTGCTGGAAAGGACACAAAAAAGCTTTCCTCATCTAACTAAATTTGAGAGCGTGAATAAGCTGGATTTCCCCATCTGGAGCCTCTCAGACTAGACTAGCCTTACCAATTAATATGAGTGTATAGGTCTGGGGCCCGAAGGAAATTAGGTCAGGCCCAGAAAGGAATCAGGTGGCTGACCACAAGCAAGAATTTTAATATGGATTCAAAACAAAGGGCAGAGATCTAATGCGGCAATTCACTGAATACCATTAGGACTATATCAGAGCGTGTGATGAGGGAGCCTTCAGGATAAGAAAATAGAAAGGGAAACAATACTAAAGGACAGAAAATGTCTTAATCCAAGTACAATCCAGACTTTGATTCTTCGTTTAATCAACTCTTCTCTTTCCTCACCATGCTGTCTTCTCCTCTCCCTCTCTCCCTCTCTCTCTCATGTCATCTCATATTGTCTTCATGTAGGACATTCTTGCTTTCACTCTGCAGTTCTAGCTCTCCCTTTACTTCATTTCTGAGAATTGAGATCCATAGCAAGGCACAGAAGAAGTACTTTGATAAGGAGAATAAAACCAGTCTGAGACGAACATTATCAGAACACAGTCCTTGCTTTGGTGTAGTTTAGGGTCAAAATTGAGACGTGTATGTAGGAGCGTTTTTAGAAGATTTTAAGGAGAGTCTGTTTTCTTAGCGTCTCCAACTTGTTCTCCAAAGATATACTTTGAAGGCTTTGTACACTGCCATATAGCGAGAGGACGGCATTATGAGAGCCAACCCAGGGATGTTCCAGATGCATCCTGCCATTAAGTGCTGGTGTGAAAAGTTAGAGCATTTTTTTCTCTCGGGAATCTCTTGTGGCTTCATCCCTGTGCAAAGGTCTGTGCTTCCAAAAGTTCAAGATTGATTTTTTGGAGAAAAGAAGTGAAGAATTTTCTAGCCAACCAAGAAACAGATTCTTTTGACGAAATGTCAGATTAAGAAAAAAAAGAATTCTACATGGGGTACCATGACAATTCTCTAAAGGCAATGACTGTGAGAATAATGCAGATATTTTTGGATAGAGGGTTATAGCCCTCGGAAGTTTCATTTTCTGTACAGTTCTTGTGGTTAGCATAAATTTAAAAATGTGTTCATGTGCAGAACATTTCAGATTCATTTATGCAGAATTATGTAGCACATGGAAAAGCCTCCCTTAAATTCCCATGTATAATGGGGACACAAAATTCTACAAATTATATTTGTAAACATCCAGTCCCCTCTATCATTACACATTCTCAAAGTATACTAGATATGGAAAGTGTGTTATTATAACACACTCACTCTCTCTCTCACTGCAATGATTGGCCATAGGCCAGTTGCCCAGGGATTCAATGGTATTAGCCCTGCATTGGATATGTCAGATAAGATCACACATTACTTACCTACACTTCTACAGCCTTGCTGGTCATTTTAAACATTTAGTCCCTTGAAAGCTTAACCCATTACTCTCTCTCTCTCTCTTTCTCTGTCTGTCTCTCTCTCTATATATGCATACACACACACACACACACACACACACACATATACATCTATATGGATTTTCCAGAAAACTTTCTCAAAAGAAATCACTTGTATCATAGACCCTGTCCCCCCACACCCTTCCCCTCCCAGTCCCTAAAAAATATTAGACAAATCGACAGTCAGAGGACATAATTATGGAATCATCTTTCACTTCCTCCAAATTCTAGACAAACTTCCTTTTCACTTAAAAATGGAAAATGTGACAAACGTAAGCCCTTACCAACTTCCCACTTCAGAAGGCTGTTGTCTTCCCTCTCCATTTTTCCAATGACATACCAGATACACGCCATCCAGTGTGCAAGGAGTGCAAACATGGACATGAGCAGAGTCAGGACGATTGTGCTGTGCTGGGAATAGCGGTCCAACTTCTGCAGGAGACGCAAGAGACGCAGCAGCCGGACGGTCTTCAGGAGATGCACGAGAGACACCTGTGGGAGGAGACCGAGCGGCACCGCGTGGCTCATGGGTTCACTCCGCATCATAGCGGTTGCTTTAACTTACAGCCATTCTGGAAAGTTCTTGAAGTCAAGCATAATCATGACTCCAACGCGATGGTCATTTTTATGGCCATGCCAATGTCGTTTCTCGACATAATGCTATCAAGAGGTGATAGGATAAAGGATGATGAGACAGTTTACTTTCCTTGAATTGGTACTTATTTTCCTTAAGGTTTATCTTTTTTTCTCAACCTATTTGACTGAATATGATTTTGTATATTCTGATACACAACTGAAACACATTATGGTCTCAGGATTGAACATAAGGTGTCTCCACTTCTTACACACATTTTCTTTCAATTCCACGTCCCTTCCTCCATGCAGGAGTGACATCATAACAATAATTTAGACACACTGAACCCTGTGAAGTGGTAATAAAGGTAACTTTAAAAAAAAATAGTGATTAGATGTACCAAACTTGAGTAAGATTTACTCACAAATGCCAGTAATACCTCCTGTCTCATGTGCTGCACTCTCTTCTTTGTAACATCATCGACTGACAGAAAAAACTCACACCTGAAGCATATACTTTCTGAGCTCTCTGTCAAACACACAGGCTGAGGGAACCAAAATCAAATGGAACACCATTTTTGTTTTTTTGTTTTGTTTTGTTTTGTTTTTTATTTATATATGAAATTTATTGTCAAATTGGTTTCCATACAACACCCAGTGCTCATCCCAAAAGGTGCCCTCCTCAATACCCATCACCCACCCTCTCCTCCCTGGAACACCATTTTTGAAAAACTCTCCTAGGTCTTGTCTTTGGACACACTAAAACAATACACTTGTGGCCAAGGACTTATTTTCCTGACTTCAGCGCCCAACGGAAACATGTGCACCACTAGTGTCCACAAGAGTGGTCATTGTCACTATTAACAACAGACGTGGTGCCCTAATGCATACTCTTTCACACCCTCGAATAGCCTCAAGGAGCATTCTAAAATAGAAACGGCAAATAAAGTATGACCTCATCCGTAAATAGAGTTTAACAAAGTACTTGACCTTTTCTAATTTGGAGGCCGGAGGAAGGAACTATAAATACAAGGGAAGAAAGTGGTTTGTATGACTATACCTAAGAACAGTATTTGCTCTAAGGACTCAATCATAAACACGGTCGGCATCTTCTGGAAGTTTGCCTTTATAATTATCTGGAGTCAGTTGACATCTAGCTCCTTCCTCCATGATCTATCTCCCCTTCTGTCGAAGAAAATTGTACCTGGAACAGTGCTTGACACATAGTAAGTGCTCCGTAAATACGTGTTAAATGAGAGGATGGTTAATAAGATGGAAACCGCTCTAAACTCAATATAATAGAAATTCAATAAAAACCTTTTCAATTGTAATCTCACGAATTATTCTATACTGAAATATAATAAAATCATAAGGTCAGCTGAGGAACTTGCCAGCTACCTGTGCTTTGACTTCTTGTTCTCATTCTTCTGTGTCAAATCTTATTTTCTTCCCTTTCACAGCCCAGCCCTCATCTGTCATTTCTCCAGCTGACTGTAAACCAGATGATTTCCTGCCAGGACTTTGCAATATCTGCTTCCTGGCTTAGAAGAATTACTGGGGGTGGAGTTTATTTTATAGAAGAGTTTGATAGATGCATGACAATTTGGTACTTGAAATGAAACCTCAAAAAGTCCCAAAAGGAGGAAGACAAGTTGATTAACATGTATTGAGGTCTTTCTGGGTGTTTGACACTTAGCAAGGTATAGAATAGAAATGCTTTTCAGGCTGCTGAGAACCTTGTAGGGATTTTTATGCTTATTTTGCTTACTTTGCCTATTTTGATGTTAATTTCCCCCAAGGAAGTCACTCAGATGGTAAGTGATTAAGACTGGGATTTCTACTTTGCCTTTTTCACTCTGTCATATTTTCTATGTCTCATGCATAACTTTGTCTCTCAGAGTGCCTTTCATAGTGACTTACACACACTAAATTTTATTAAAGAAATGTGGGAAGTATATATAAAACATTTACCATCAGCAATTATGGGCAGAGTCAAAACTAAAGCATCCAATACATTTCTGATGGTTGTAATGAGTTTTTGAATACCATCTACAGAGATGTGCTAACTGGATGTATTTTAGATCTGGAAAACCAACATCTGTGTTTGCGTATTTATTTCTACCTTTCTTTTTACAAGTTTGTGCAGTATAACAATAGCATAGCTTATAAACTTTTCCTCATAACTTATGTTGTCCTGGGAAGTAAATATAATACTTTGAACAAATAGAATATTTCATCATGACTAATTTATTTGGGGCAGAGCAAATTTATATGCCAACTGGTTAATGATCATACGCTCACTCCTGTGAGACACAGAAAAATTATCATTGATAAGAGACAGATTCCATTCTTTCTTCCTCTTTTGTCTTTCTTTCTAACATAGATGTTTATCTATAACTTGCATTTATTAGGTATTCATGGCAGGTTTCATGAGACAGAATGAAGAAAGGGAGCAGGAATGTAGTGAAAGTGTACAAGTACTTAAAATTCATCAAAATATGAGAATTAGACTTTAAAAAAATCCTTTGTGTTAATTTTAGACAATGAGCATGTTAATGACAGATAAACATGTATTTTAAAATTTTGTATATTTTACAATACAATTATATAATATATATTTTAAATTATCCTATTTGTTCAGTGCCCAAAGAGAAATGGAACATAAAAAAATTATTAGTATTTAGTCACAAAGCAGCAAGTTAATTTAGAGAGGGGTCTATCAAACATGATTCATTTAACAATTCTCCAGGAGAATGTGGAAAATTTTTCTTAGTATTTTGTGAATTATATACTTCTTTTGAAATTTTTTGGATGCAGTCTTGCAAATACCTTGTTTTAAGTCATTACATGTTCATTATAGTACACTTATCTAGTCAAATTCAATTTTAAAAAGCACTTTTAAAAGCCTGGATAACAATTCTCTGTAGCACTGATTGATATTATATACTAAATTTTTCCCCAGAGGTTTCCTTTCAGTTGACTTATAAACCTCTTAAAGATGTTGATACCCTCAACTTTCCATCTTAAGAAAAAAATGGTAAGGAAAAGAAAAGAAAAATGCTATTGTATAGACAATTACCAAATGCACAAATTTGTACTAAATAGTCAGGATTACAGTTCAGTCTTCATCCCAAAGTCAATAATGACTGTATTTGAAACACTGATCATTTTAATACTGAAAACTAAGCTTTTAAATTCCTGATAGAGAATCTCAAGGTCTTGTCAACTGAGTAAGAAATAGGCTTCATTTGAACTAATGTTTAGTAAATTTTTGCCTGCTAAAATTGGTTACTCTAGCAGCAAATTGCATTACTGGCCCCAAAATGCTATTATACCTCCCTAAAAGTCTCTCTATTTATAAGGGAGCACTTAATGCTTTTACGAACATCAATCGTTAAATAGTAAAAATAGCTACTACAATGAGTGGACACACTTTCTTTCCTGTGATGAGACATGAGGATAAAGGGAAGAAGAGAGATGTTACAAACATCAGTAAAAATCCAAAAGAGATCTCAAGTTCAAGTGGCCATTGTATCATTGTGTCATTTCTTCCCCATCCAACATTTTTACAAAGACTTCTAAGAAGTGGTTGAATTCTTTTAACTTCGGTACTACTCGGTATCTTGATTGGTCTTTTGTTTTGCTAATGAAGAACTCAAGAGGTAGAGAGTAAAGGTCATAAAGCCAGAAGAAATCTCAAACTCTCCACTAAACTTCTGAGGCAAAATACCTGCCAAAGTAATACAAAGTAATGCTCATTACTTTTGGTTTCCTTACCAAAGGATTTCTTCTGTGAGCGAGTATTGATGATACATGCTTTGGGTATATCCTGGTTCTAGATATTTAAATAACTAAAACAGGTCATGTAAATTCCAAAAGGAAGTAACTTCCTCAAGTGGAGAATTTGGCCTGCGTACCATTGGTCACTTTGGTGTCTTTATTCAGGAGGCCACAAAGTCCTGGACATACAAACTGCTACAAACACTTAAAACCTGAATGCGTGGAAAATAAACACAGGATTAAAAATAACCTTCAAAGTCATGTGGAAGGGAGCTCTTTACTCACCACTGTGACGTTGAAAGCATACAGGAGATCAAAAGGCAGGGCAGCAATTAAGTCAATGATGAACCAGGTTGTGACATAGTGGATGCAAATTGATCTTGCTTCAAAGATAACTTGGCCAGACTTGCTGACATAGGTTGTTCGGAAATTTAAAATAATATCTGCTTGAGAAAAAAAGATAAGAGAAAAAGAAGGAAGGAACAGAGAGAAGAAGAAGAAGAAGGAACAGACGAGGAAAGAAGGAAGGATGAAAGAAAACAAGCATGCAGCAGGGGGGGGGGGAGGAAAAAATTGTATAAAATTACGTAAAATTAGACAAACGATAACCTCTCAATGTATTTCTGACTGATAATATCTGAAATACTCCTCTTGACAAATCCAGTTCAATTCAATAAACAGGTATTGAAGGGTGAAGAAAATAATATTTTCTGAGCACTGAATACACTCCAGACATCGGACCACATGTACCAAAAGTAACATGAATAAAAATAACAATAACAACAATAGTCATCATTACTAAATGCTCACTAGTACCAGGCACTGTTCTGAGAACGTAGCAGAGGTTATTTCACTTACTCCTCAGAACATGTTCTTAAGTAGATGATATTATCTCCATGCTAAAGAGGCAAAAACCAAGTCTCAATGAGGAAAAGTAACGTATCCGTGATCATAATGTCAATGGTGTCAAAGAGGATTTTACACACAGATAATTTTTAGTCTCTGTTCTTTCTTTCTTTCTTTCTTTCTTTCTTTCTTTCTTTCTTTCTTTCTTTCTTTCTTTTTTCAACGTTTATTTATTTTTGGGACAGAGAGAGACAGAGCATGAACGGGCGAGGGGCAGAGAGAGAGGGAGACACAGAATCGGAAACAGGCTCCAGGCTCTGAGCCATCAGCCCAGAGCCCGACGCAGGGCTCGAACTCATGGACCGTGAGATCGTGACCTGGTTGAAGTCGGACGCTTAACCGACTGCGCCACCCAGGCGCCCCATCTGTTCTTTTTTTTTTTAAATACAGGGGCGCCTGGGTGGCTCAGTCGGTTAGGCCGCCGACTTCAGCTCAGGTCCTGATCTTGCGGTCCGTGAGTTCGAGCCCCGCATCGGGCTCTGTGCTGACAGCTCAGAGCCTGGAGCCTGCTTCATATTCTGTGTCTCCCTCTCTCTGACCCTCCCCTGTCCATGCTCTGTCTCTCTCTGTCTCAAAAATAAATAAATGTTAAAAAAAAAAATACAATTCTATTTTATTTTGTGAACAAAGTTTAACTAATCTCTCTGTGGACACAGAATTCATCTCTGCCCTAAAGGCACTTATATTAACAAAACACTAGAAGTTACTTTGTTTGGATTTCTAGGTTAAATTTTCTCATTCCATTTTAATGGATGATGTAATCATTTTCAACTTTTCCCTGCATCATTCTTTTATTATATTTTTATTTTATATTCTATTTAATATTTATATTTACTTTAAATTTATATTATATTTTATTATTTATTGAACTTTTTACAATCCATGAGGCCCTCGAGGGCACTGGTCAAATGACAGCCATAGCCACAAGGATCGTCTTAGGCTCACTTCTGCTTCTATGACTAAACATCTCTGTGTCTGTTGTATTAGTCTCTGGGTTACATATCATTAAAGCACTGGAAAACATTACCTTTCCCTTTGTTTGTTTTTCAGTTGACTACAGCCAGGCCATTGGGAATTTCAGGATTGCTGCATACATGTAAGGGTGATAATGGTTGAGCATTTTATGGACTAGTGAATCCAATGTAAACATATCTCTCTGTGAAACTTTGTTCTTGGGAGGTGCCATGAGCCACTGACTCAACGATTAAAGGAGGGAATGTGGGAAGTAAATATGCAGGTCAAAGAGAACAGGAATTGGGAGAGTTATGAAGCAAATGTAAAGCTCTGAGCTACATGGTTATTGGGTGAATTGGAATACTCTTTATAGCTAATTTAAACCCTTGAAAATAAGTAGAATAGTGTTATATGATGATAAAAACTCGATATCATGATCATGATGATGACAACGATAAAACATACAATAATGTGCACCTTGTATGTCATTTTTACTTTTCATTTCATGTTCACATTTGTGGTAGGCAGAATTCAAAGATGACCCTCGCTTTCATATGGTCTTCTCCCCTTAAGTGAGGGTAGAGCCTGTGAGCATTATCAGATATCATGCCATGATGCTGTTGCAGTATATGGCTAAAGGGAGATTAACCTCAGTGGCCTGACCTGATCAGGTAAGCCTTGCACAAGCCAGTTTTCTTCAGCTGGTGGTAAGGGACTGGAAGAAAGCAACCGCCACATTGTGGAAGGGCCATGTGGCAGGGAATGGTGGCCAGTCTCCAACTGCTGAGAGTGGCCCCTTGCTGACATCTAGCAACAAATGGGGACTTGTGTCCTATAACCCTAAGGAAGCAAATTCTTCCCACAGCCGCATGAGTTTGCAAGAGGACCTACGCTCCAGAAAGAAACACAGTTTAGCTGACATCTTGAGCTCAGTCTTGTGAGGTTGAGCAGAGAATTCAGCTAGGCCAGACCTAGATTTCCCACCCACAGAAACTGAGATAATCAATAGCTGTTGTTTCAAGCTGCCAAGTTGGTAGTAATTTAAAGTGAGGCAATACAAAAACAAATACAACATTTATTCTGCATTAGGTTCTCATCATAGCCTTGCGAGGAGAGATAATATAGGAATTACGACAACAGATTACTACTACATTTTTATAGATAATACCTTAGCATGGACCCAGTACTGTTTGGGGTCCTTTAAAATCATAATCTCATGGACTCCTTACAACAATACTAAGAGGTAGGCCCCTTCAATATCCTTTTTTACAGATGAGGAAACTGAGGCCCAAAGAAACGCAAACAACTTGTCCAGAGTCACATACATGGTGTAACTGAAGCATAGGATTAAACTTCTTTAGCTAGTTAGTGAAAGAACACGACCCCAATCCAAGTCTCCTAATTTCCAATTCAGTGCTTTGGCTTTTGGTCCCTTAACAGAGGCCAGTCACATCTCAGGTCTGGAAGCAAGTTCTAGGTGACTTAAAAAGAAAACAATTTTTCCAGTCTTTTGTGAATGATCTAACTTTTTAAAATGGCATTATTAGAAGTCATATGTTTGTCGAAAAATAAAAATACTGAAAAACTTTTATTGCTAATACTGAGAATATGAAAGTAAGGAGCAGTGGCTAAACCATCCAAAAAGGATGAAAACAATGCCAAGGTGATTTCTATTGCAGAGTAAAAGTGCTACCATGGCAAAGTATCAATGCATCATTGAAGCATGGCCACCAAGGCTAAACCATCCAAAAAGGATGAAAACAATGCCAAGGTGATTTCTATTGCAGAATAAAAGTGCTACCATGGCAAAGTATCAATGCATCATTGAAGCATGGCCACCAAGAAGGAGCAGGAGCAGGAGCACAGTGGAATACCATCAGGCTGTTAAGGTAGCATGTGAACTTCTCATTCTTTCTCTTAACTTTCTGGGCTCATGTATTTCTTTATCAGCAAATCAATTTAACAGGTCAGGCCACCGGCTGTTGAAATCAAGCAGAGATTTCAACTTGATGGTTTCTAAAAGAAAGCGCAGGTTAGGCATTTGGGTTTTCATCTCATGAGTAAGAAACCCAGAGTTGTTTACCAAGCCCTTGAGTGATCTGTGGTTTCCATAACTCAGGCTGAGATAAGTCTGCATGTTCATTGTAAGACTGGAGGGACAAATTCCTTGCATATTTACCAACTGATCACCAGTTCTACCACAAATTTCACAGAAAACTCACTGCCACCATCCAGGATGCCACCCTCCACATTCCTGGGGCACTCCATGAATGGCTGAATGAATGAAATGATTGGTCTTTGGTTGGTTGACACAGCAGACATTTTTGAAACTGTGTAGTAAATTATGTGTTTGACTCAAAAATAAAAGAGGTGCAGACTTCTGAACAGAAAAGATATTTTTGTGGATGAGTCATTACAGAATATCAGTTTAGCTTTTAAAAAAGCTTTTAAAAAAATAATTTGTTACTCATTTGAGTTAATTGGGTGAAAAGAAGATATGCTAATTTTAGGTTTTAAAAAGAAGTAATTATGAGACTTTTATATTTAAATACTAATAATAGTAAAAGAATATAAAAGGGATTTTTTTAGAATCTATTTTTTACAAATCTATTTTTGAAATACATGAATTCTTTAGGTTTATTTTCAGAGAGAAAAAAACCTAAATATATATTATATTCTAAGATTTCTAGGACTATGGTCCTATCGTGCAAAGGCTCTAGGTTTATTCAATGATCAGTATTATTTTTGGATAGTTGATTTCTAAGAAACCTACTTTTGTCATATGCATAAAAATAGGCATAATTCTGGTGTATTATAATTTACAAAACATTTCCAGGCATTCATTAGTTCATGTGACAAAACCAACTCTTTCAGGTGTACTATTTTTACCAAAGACTCAGGAGATTTAAGAAACTTATTTGAAGCCATGAAGATAGTAAGCAACAGAAAAACGGGACATCTATTGACAGTTGATTCCATTGTCTTTCCATTATCTTAAAAACTTACCACACTTCCAAATATATTTTGGAGGGAATAACAATAGGTTGGTGCAGGGGAGTGATTTTTTTCTTTTTTCTTTTTTTAAATTTTTAATTTTTTGAGAGAGAAAGACAGAGGACAAGCAGGGGAGGGTCAGAGAGAGAGGGAGACACAGAATCTGAAGCAGGTTCCAGGCTCTAAGCTGTCAGCAAAGAGCCCAATGTGGGGCTTGAACTCATGAATTGTGAGATCATGACCTGAGCTGAAGTCAGATGCTTAACCGACTGAGCCACCCAGGAGCCCCAGAGAAATGCATTTCTGATCAGTGGAAATGCCCTTAGATCAAACTCCATATCAGCACCACCCAGGTAAAAGAATGTTAAATAAGAGTCACAGAATTGAAAATAAGGAAATCAGTTGTCTCTTGATCTGTCTAGGGACAATGGAGAATACTGTTTTCTCTCTACTGATAAGAATATGGTATTGGTGTTCGAGGACCAGGAGAATCCAACGCTCGTAAATATTCCCTTAAATGGAAGGGTAGAGATGGCTAGACCGTACTCTAAGAGTCAGGGAAGCACAGAATGAATTTGATTCTGATGAG